GTTTGAGGTAATCTTCAGTAAGATTCGAATGCTTCTAATGCTTACTGATATAACCTATGTTACGGTATAGTTCTACCGACCGAAAGAACAATTTCACAAACTCGGACAACTACTTTCTTAAATGCCGAGTAATATTCTTATTTAGGAGCGACTTAAGCTCCAATAGACAATACAATAATTATCTTTAATAGACTTACTAAGGTACCGCTAAGGAACCGCCTCCAATGAGCTTTTCGTATTAGTTTCCTCATTATAAATTCAGCGCGGAGCATGAAGAGTACTCCATGTTTACACCTTAAGTCACCTCTAAGAAAAAGAGGTGTCGAACGTGTTAAAATAATTTCAAATTAGTATATCACCAAAGATTTTGACCTCCTCTTACTTCTTAAACCGTATTAAAATACATTTCGCATAAAAGTAATTTTAGGAGAGTTACTACTTTACGAAATGGACTATTTCGAAATGGACAGTGACAACGTGACCTAGCTCTTTCATGTCACAAAAATACATTTTAACATTACAAATTAGTATATTCTCGAAGATCTCGGTCACCTCCTCTTTAACTGTCCATTCAAAATTAATTTCGCAAAGTAGTAAGTTCAGAAAAATTACTATTTTGCGAAATGGATTATTTTCACTCAGCGGTAGCGATATTACCATTCCCGTGTCACACAACAGGATTTCTGTAGGTTTTAATTTAAAGCACTTTCAAGTTCCAAAAGATCTAAGCTATCTCCACCTATATAAAAGTCTTGTAAGTATATTTTGCGAGGTAGTAATTTTGGACGAATTGCTATTTTGCAAAATGGAACATAAATGATTGAAATGCCGCCAGAGAACACTGACTCGTGAGAGATAATTCCAGCTGGTACTGTGAAAGCCAAGATAAAAGCTGATTATGAATAAAGCAAGGAAAACCAAGTGAGACGTTTGCGTGAGCTGTATGAAGGAGGTCTCATAGGTAAGAGGAAGTACGCAAGCATCAGAAACAGTTCAGATGTTGTAAAAGAAACTGGAAAGAAAATGAAAAACCAGAAAACAGAATTTATGAAAGGATGTGAAGTTCCAGAGGCATAGATATTGGTAAAATATAATCCTTGGAGGATTTAGCAGACAATTTCTCCCTGGAATCAACATCTGGTGTGTACAGGCCTTTTCTGCTGAGGCTTGCGGATATGTACTTGTCTGCATTGGTTCGATGACGAAAAAGGAGTTATGCATGTTGCCATTGGTGCGGATGGTGTTCCTTTTGAAAGGGATGATACAGCAACAGGTATTATTTTAACATGAATGTCAGTAGCACATGATGATAGATTAAATTGCGAATTTTGACTTCATAACAGTCATAAAAGTATTAGTAGATGGTGTATAGTTAGAAGCGTAAATTGGTTGTAGAATCAAAATATTATGTTGATCCTTTAGATCTCATTAGTAATTCTCCTTACTGTCTGCCATACAGTTCTTGTGATATTAGTTTGGAGAAATTGGTATTGGTTCAACTTATAATCCCCTAACTGATATTTTTCTTTGTTCTCATCACTCTGCTGCTTGATATTGTATTGATATTGTAAGAAGAGATTCTCTTTTGATCACTCATGGGAGTTAAAAGGTTAATCATGAAATCACTTTTTGGAAACTTTATTGAGATATAATTCTGACTTATGACGAACACTTTTAATAAGTCCCTCATTTAATTTTTGACTTAATGTGAATTTACAGCATACCTTGTCAGCTTTCTGAATCTCCTAAACAAGGTGCAAAGTTGCAATGAAAACCACCTTTTTATGGGTGCTAATTCCGCCGAGGACACTACATCAATGAAATGCTATACCAAGCATTTAGTTAAAGAATTGGAGCTTATAGAAGGAGCTAAACTCACCACTGAACAAGGCCATATGGAGGAATTTAGATTCCAGTGGATCCCAGCTGCATGAAATGGTTGTTATCCATTTCAGGGGAACTAAATAACTGTGCAATTTACTTTTCCCCTTTTGCCAATGTGAACCAAACTGACAAAACCACTATTGGTGACTCAATTGGTGCCAGACCAGAAGCAACTAGTCAACCGTGGGATTACAAGAAGCGGATTCTTGTCGCAGAGAAAGTTACGAAGTTTAAGGTAAAATTTAGAGATCCTGAAGGAAAACAGAGCAGAGGTCACTAAGTTAATTGCCAAGGAGAAATCTAGGCAAGAATTTGTTCCCCCCTTGGGCAAATAAGTGGATTTAGCTAAGGCTGAGCCACTTCATAACACCAGCAATGCCTGGCAGCAGTGGTTTTCCGCTCTCCTGACAATGGCCACGCAGTACACTGACCAAGCTAAACTCCGCACAGCAACAGTGGTTTCAGATCTTCCAAACTCTTCACCACTAGTAGCATTTGTAAAGTGTGTGCAGGAAACTATGAAGTGTGGAAGGCTGTGCAACAGCTTCAATTGGTGGTTCGGTGAAAAGAAAAAAAAGGGAATTTCTTTCTCTAATAGATTCACTGGACTGGAATCCATGGGATTTTCATGGAACTTTGGTTACCTCATCAAGGAACTCTTGCAGATAGAAAAATTGTCAAGAGGGTCTGCTTTAAAACTGCACTCACTTGTATTTAGTGGTTTGCAAATCAGGGATGCTGCTGCAATTTATTCCAGAGTTGAAGTAAGCAAACAGCAATTAGATAATGCAACTTAAAGTCAAATGTTGCAACTGGAAAAGTTATCACTGAGCTTTTTTTTTTTTTTTTTTTTTTATTTAAACACGGTCAATTCATCAGCCTAAAAAATATATACAGCTTCAGCAGTATTTGAAATAATATTGGTTAAATAAATATGAAGAGATGCTGGATTATTATTTCTTAGAGCTGCAATTTGATTTTGATCATGTTATATGTTCAAAGGAACATCTCAGCTCTTGTTATATATTATCAGAAATAAGAAATGGAATCAAATGTCAATGGTTCTATTTTATGCTGCGTTTATTCTATAATTTCTTCTATACCCTACTAGGCAGTGTAAACCTGATGATTAATTTTTACTATATTCTATACCCAGCTGAGTAGTAAATACCTAATGATCACTTTTAATCTCTCCCATAACCACTTGGGTAGTGTATACCTAAGGGTTACTTTTAATAGCTTCTATACCCTCTTAAATGGTGTATACCTAAGGGTTACATCTAATTTCTTCTATACCCTCTTCAGTTGTGTATACCTGGGGGTTGCTTTTACTCTCTTCTACCCTCTTGGGTAGTGTATATTTAAGGGTTTTATCTAATCCCTTCTATACCCTCTTGGGCAGTGAATACCTAAGGATTATTGTTAATCTCTTCTCAGGTAGTGTATATCCGAGGGTTATTTTTAATCTTTCCTCTACCCTCATGGGTAATGTATACCTGAGGGTTAATTTTACCCTCAAGGGTATAGTGTATACCTGAGGGTTACTTTTAATCTCTTCCATACCCTCCTGGGAATTGTATACCTGAAAGTTATTTTTAATCTCTTTTGTAAGTTCTTGGGTGATGTATACCTGAGGGCTGTAAAGTTGTAAAGCTGAGGGCTATTTTTGATATTTCCTATACCCTTCCTGTGTAGTGCATACCTGAGGGATATTTTTTAATCTTTTCTATGCCTGCTTGGGCAGTGTATACCTGAGGAATACTTTTAATCTCTTTTATACCCTCTACTGGGTAGTGTATACCTGAGGGTTACTTTAAATCTCTTGTACACCCGCTTGGGCGGTGATTACCTGACAATTCATTTCTAATATCTGCTATACCCTCTTGGTAGTGAATAGTTAAGGGTCAATGTTAATCTCTCCTATACCCTCTTGGGTAGAGTACACCTGAGGGTTACTTTTAATATCTTCTATATTCTCTTGAGTAGTGCATACCTGAGGGGTTTTTTATCTCTTTTATACCCTCGTGGTGAGTGTATACCTGAGGGTTATTTTTAATCTCTTTATATCCCTCTGGGTAGTGTATACCTGAGGGCTATTTTTAATCTTTTCTATGCCCGCTTGGGTAGTGTATACCTGAGGGTTACTTTTAATCTCTCTATACCCTTTTGGGTAGTGTACACCTGAGAGTTACTTTTAGTCTCTTTCATACCCTCTTGAGTAGTGTATATCTGAGGGTTACTTTTAATCTCTTTAATACCCTACTGGGTAGTGTATACCTGAAGGTTATTTCTGATCTCTCCTGTACCCTCCTGGTTAGTGTATTCCAGAGTGATATTTTTTAACTCTTTGACTGAGTATAATTGAGTGTTACTTTTAATCTCGTCTATATGTATAATCGAGGGTCAATTACTAAATATCTTGTATATATTCTTGTATACCAGAGGGTTAGTTTTAATCCATTCTATACCCCCCTCAGTAGTGTATACCTGAGTGATACTTTTAACCCTGTCTATATGTATACTCGAGGGTTAATTTTTAATATTTTTTATACCCTCTTGGGTAATGTATACCTGAGGGTTACTTTTAATCTCTTCTATACCCTCCTGGGTAGTGTATAGCTAAGGGTTACTTTTAATCTCATCTATATGTATACTCAAGGGTTAATTATTAAATATTTTCTATACCCTCTTGGGTAGTGTATACCTGAGAGTTATTTATAATCCATTCTATACCCCCCTCAGTAGTGTATACCTGAGTGATACTTTTAACCCTGTCTATATGTATACTTGAGGGTTAATTTTTAAATATTTTTTCAACCCTCTCGGGTAGTATATACCTAAGGTTATACACGGAACGGGGAGACCGTCAGCTGAAAGCAATATGTATTCTCTGGATTATCTAATCAACAGTTTCTGGACTTTAAAAGTTCAAAACCATGACCTGTATAAAGAAGGGTTTTTCTGAGTTAGCCATAAACAGGCCTATGATCATAGAGGTGTAATCAGCTTTCCCGGTGCCGCTTTTTAGTCAATTTTTTTATTTTCTTCTTCTTATACGTGTTTTAAATTATTCCTGTTATATTTTCTATCAAATTTGGCCAGGACTATTCCTGGACTTTGTGTTAACGATTTACTGTCATCTTCATTGAATGTGCAGCCAGCCAATTTACATAATTATTTATTTTTTCCGACGCAAAGCTGGTCATGAATACAAAAATTACTTAAAACACAAAAGCTACCAACAAAACCAACTTGACAGGTAATACCAATAATAATATCAAAAAATGCATGCTATTAGAAGGTTCCCTTTCCCTTAACAATAGGTACTCAAATAGTTAAGCTATGGTTGTTGTTTTTGCTTCGTGGTAGAGCAACGGATGGTGGCCTCCTTTCCATGTTTTCAGGGGGTGCATCGGGGATTCTATGGGCAACGTCCTGGCCTGGGCCGTCCTGTTGCAATGGTCGCCTCTCTTCATCATCTTGGTTGTTCCCCCTATTTCTCCACCATAAAAAAAGCCCTGCAAGGACCACCAGTACAATCACCCCAGCGGTTGGAGCCACAATTTCCACAATGTGCGCTGCACAAATTAAAGAGGAACCAGAAGATGTTATTTTTCAATTAACAAATATTTCTTGAACGTGAACATCATAAGAAGAGAAGGAGTTTTTGCGGAGCAATTGAGCGCCCTTCCATCAACTTTGATGAAATTATTGATGTTGTACGAATTCTGTGGGGGCAACAAAGCATTATTTGGTGGTACTGAGTGTCAGGTCCATCACACCTATTTATTCTTTATTTTTTACTCTCGACTTTTCCTCCTAATCATCATTCCTGCGATAAGGAAAGTACTGTTTGACTTTCAGTTAACTTACAATGTTCCTCCGCTGCTAGGCTAAGGGAAGTCCCAGAAACACAAGCATTCTCACAACCGCACAAGTGATCCAGCTCAAATTTCTAGAGTACGAAAAGATACAAGGGGAAAATTTCAAGAGTCTCATCATGGTTTCAACAAGACTTGTGTTAGAAATGATGACATCCAAAGAAAGTCGCTAAAGCCATGAACGAATTCCATGGAATTTTATGAAGCAGGATGCAAAAGGCAGATATATTTCAACCATCTTTTGCACAGCTCTTAGTAGACTTTGTATGTCTTGAAAAACTCATAACAAAAGAATTAAGAGAAGTTTTTCCCGTGTTTTTCGCAAAGCTTTATCTTGGTTAGAGAATCTTTAATAATTCGTCTCACGATAAAGAGTAAATCAACTGTAGAGTTTCTTTCAAAAGAAAATCGCGATACTTCGACAGCAATACTGCTAATCTTTGACGTCTACTTTGGTCCAGTTGCACTGTGCATTGAAAAGGAAGTAATATTTATGAGCGACTCGTACTCTTTCAATCCAATCGGCTGACGAGAACATTACATTTTATTTTTACTATTATTTTTTCATGTCAATCTGAATAGATAAATTGTGTAAAAAAGTCACTAACCCAGTAATCTTCATTGATTACTTTAAAGGTTGCATCCTTGATGTCTACTTTGGTCCGATCGCACTTCACTTTGACAATGGACTTTAGACCCTGAAGATACCTAAAAGAAGATAAATTAGGAAGTTAGTGTCTCCTAATAGAAAAAAAATTCTGTTTTTTCTTTAGGCTTTGGTTTCTGATAAAAAAAAGATATCCTATAGATCAAGCAGTACAGCTCTTCACAGCATTTTTCGAGAATGGTAGATTGTTCCTTCGTGCTGATTGTTAATTTTCTGCTTCCATGTGTTTCCCTGTGGTAAAATTCAGTTGTTTTTCGAGTTAGCGTATGTGCCCACCACTAAATAAGAACCCGCACCTTAGTTAACTTGTATGTGCTCATAAGAACACTGGCGCAGAGTTTTACTTAAGTTTTATTGCTAAGCCTAGTCATAATTAAGAGCGTGCAAGTACACATACCGTCCCCCTGCTTTGTAGGTCAGTTGAATAAAATTGCTCACTTTGGTACATTTTGGCATTTTATTTCCAATTGATTGATAATTGTCAGGATTATCGTTGTTTGGAGTCCACCTACATATCTGAAAGATAATAGAAATAGTGCGACTGTTGCCACAGGGCCACCAACAAATTCAAAGTTACTCTGATGTTTAAGACCAGCCACACACAAGATTCCGGTATGCAAACACAAAATTATAAAGGGTGGTAACCGTGCTATTTTATTTAATCGCTTGCTATATTCGCAGTCTGTGCTCTCAAAAGATCACGGTTACCCAATTCATACCTGATACTACACAAAAAGATATCATAGATCTTATTCTAAGACGAAAATCATTTTGCTTTCCGAATAACTTTAACTTATTTCGGGGAAAACAACTTTTACAGCGACAGAAAACAAAGTATACTGGAAAAAATTAACTGCCCTACTTAATTGGCGAGTCTTTCCATTATCGAACTCAGGTGTTCTTTTAAGAGTTGTTGATCACCTGCATAATACGATGGCCATGCATCCCTAAGTTTTTACGTCTGTTGATAACAAGTAAGTCCTCTTGCGTGTTCCAATGCACAATGCTGAGTTGCTGTTCACAAATTAAGCTTAAATAGCCAGATTTCTCAAGTACAACAAAACCGCCAAAAACATCGAGCTTCGTTTCTATGACTGCAGAAATAATTAGACCATTACTTACTGCTGTTTCTTTATCCCGATCACATTCACCGGCTAAACTGATCCATCTGCATGGGTTGTACGCGTACGAATAGTATTGATCGTATTTTCCATGAGGTGTACCATTTGCGACGAAGCCTCTAAGGAAATGTCCATGAGAAAGCATTGGTTACGAAGTGATGATTGATCAAAGGAAAGCATGGCACCGAGTTACTCAATTGTAATTATAGTCTAATACAGTCGAACCTGTCTTAAGCGGTCAACCACGAGGAATGTCGAGATGACCGCCTAATACAGATTCCACAGGATAGGAGCATTCTAAAAAGCAATTTAAGACGTCGTGTTTTGCCATAACTGACCACTTAAAGTGAAAAAACTAGCTCTAAAATACTACTCACATTGATTTTGGGATATAAGGATGGAAAAAGTTTTACTTAAGAGATTATTCTCAGTTTTATTTGAGTGGTTGCGCTTCGCGTGACCCTTCTCTACAGGTGGAGAACAATACAAACAGGCCGTTGGGACTTTGTAAAGGGTGATCACTGACTGCTTATAGAGGCGACCGCGTAATAGGTGCCGCAAAATACAAGTTCGACCATAGAATCATTATGGATTGTAGGGAACTACTAACAGATATACAGATACACCAACCAACGCTCTCAACTATAATCACAACTGATATTTTTGCAGACTCCCTACACTCTCCCTGCTGAAAGGATCGCCTTTCAAAAGTTTTTTTCGCGACCTTCTATCAAATTCTGTCAATGGTGTTCTTTACTTTTCTTCAGAGATCGAAAGTTCAATTTTATCAATTTCTTGTCTGCTCCATGTCAATCATCAGATTCACTATGGCTACTTAGTAAAAACGCAAGTGAAAAATACATATACATATGTCACGCTACGACTTGTGAGACTAAGCAGATTTATTCGAAAATATACTTTTGATTAGCTTTTTAGCCTATATGCAATTACCATTTAGCGGTAAAAACGTTCTTCCGCTAAATTACCTAAGAAGACCGTTTTAATCGCATATGCTAAATATCATTCTGTTACGGCAAAAGCTTGCTTACAATAAGTGTGAGTGAGTGAGTCCACTGAACTCTGGAAAGAGCTTGTGAAACTGAGCTATGCTTCTTTTCCTCTGATATGAGGCGGAGAAGGAACATCGTGTGCCCTAAATTGAAGACAGTAGTCTACGAAGAGTTACTATCGAAGTTCCACGAATTTCACCTTAAACTCTCTTTCTTGGAACCGCGCTCGAGTGGAAAACTCGGACACGGATGATAGCCCTTACTATGAATTAATCAACATCTTAAGATCACTTCATGGTAATGTCCTGTTTTTCGTTTGAGATTATCTTGTTTTGCTTACCTTATGAATGGGGCTAGATTAAAGATATTCCCATCTCTATCTTCCCAAGCGCAGGTCGTATTGGGTACAGGAAAACATTCTTGACTTCTTGTAGAAGAGCTCGCATCACACTTTTCGTATGGGACAAAAGTATGCAGAACTGTAGCGCACAACAAACTGATGAACAAACGCATCATTCCGCCGTAGAGATCTGAAGAAGACAATTGAAGATGACGAAATCTCTTTCTAATCTAAGAATTTAGGGGGTTCCCCGTGACACATGATAAGCTCTAACAATTCAAAACAATAATACCGAAGGTATTCGTCGACTAACTGCAAAAATTTCGATATTTCAAGTAAAAAGTCATATCTTAGGAAAGCTTGAGATACCGATTATATTTCCTTTATATGTTGTTGTATGCTGTGAAAGCAAATAACCAATATTTTGGTAGGAATTAGCTATACAGTTCTGGCGCACCCTGAGCTTTCGCTTTCGGATTAATCGAGAAACGGTAAAAAAGCACTTCCTCAGACACACACGCTGGTATCCCTTGATTGTCTTTTCTTAAATTTCCAAAAGAAAAATTGCGTCAATCAAATAGTGTTTTTGTTGTCATCGTTGTAATTACGAAACTAGAGTGTGTTAAGTCAGCCCTTAATCGTTGCTCGTTAGGCGGAACACAAGAAACTTCGGTTACCTTCAAATACGATGTGGCTTAGCAAGCTGTACATCTGTTCGCCAGACTTTTGACATCCGTTAGACCGTTCGGTCAGTCTTGTTGGCCAGTTAGAAAATGCGATGATCGGCAAAGCTTTGTTATTCGATCAAAAATGATCTGTCAGGGGCAACACTTTTTCTCTGTTAGACTAGTCCCCAGTCATTTCTCATTAATATTTGGAAGGGTTAGGGAATTGGCGACTAGTGATAACCGCAACACAAAGGAAACCTTCCTCATCAACACTCTGATCCATAGAAGCTAATCAATAGTTACTTAGATCATACAGTAGCTGAAGTTCGCCATCCAAGAAGTCGTACTATTACACCACTGAAAAACAACTGCATAGAGTATATTGAGGGTGATTAAGAACCAAAATATTTTCCTCCAAAAACCCTTTTCCCTCGTTATTAGTCAATATGTTTCCAAAGTAGGAAAATGCTTTTATATTTGCCGCTGATCATTAAATTGATTACCATTTTCTGACAAGCAATTAAATGACGAAGGACAAGGCCACCTTTAATTTAAAAAGCTTTTATTTTGTCTTATCTCGTGGATAGTCATCCATCTAAGTTAGAAAGTATTTTTCAATAATTTGAACCTTGTTCGTCCAATTTCCTTGTAAATACACATAGTAGGTATCAGAGTCAGTACCTTAGCAACTGCACACCTAAGCTTCGCCTAACCCAACAACAATCAATTTAACTGGTAACAAGTTGGAGTTAATTTTGAGTTAGGGGAGGGGTAGGTGCGAATTTGCTCAGATTATAATTAAACGCCTTTTTGTTTGAAATCATAAAATCAATGCTGTATGATTACTAGCAAACAGGTAACTATTCACCAGCTAATGCACAATAAATGGATATTCCGGGAAAATTTTCCTTCATCTCTGCTCTGAGTTGAACATGTCAAATGAACTACGGCCCGAAGATCAATATGTGCATATAATTCGTGTACCCACGGCAATGTTTATAGCACTATGCATGGCCAAAAGGTTTATACATATGGGTAAGTACATAAATTTTAGAAGAAGTTCAAAAGCAAAATATCTCTCGTTTTGCAAGGGTCTCTGTGTATCTGCTACATATACATAAATGATTTACAAAACACTCTTGACGAGCATTTAATGTCATCATAATACTGTTTAAAGCTTGTAGTTTGCAACATTTCATTTCCATTAACACAGAGACATGCTTCTGATTAAAAAGATCTGTTTTTTTTTTCTGAGGCATATTTGAATCATTGGGAGGCCAAGAACAGACAATGCCTTTTTTTATATGAAGGCATTTCTTTAGCTGCAGCTGATATGAACATTTGCTGGTAGCCATAAAAGATACGCATAGTCATATGATTACAAATATATTGGACCATCTTAAAAACTCTAAGCATGTACTTTCTTTTCAAAGGTTTTTTTATTATTTTTTCCTCAGCTTAGCTGGAGTGTGTAAACATGTGGGGGCACTTTTGTACCATATTTCTTCAGAAGTTAGAGAGGGAAACAACAAAACATGCACATCAAAACCTCAGGCCTAGGGGAAGACCTTCAGCTTTAGCTAAAAAACGTTACTCTGCCAGCAGATTGTCAAACATCCAAATAAAGAAAGACAGGATGCACAAAGGCAACTCCCTTGTCCCTTGGCAGACATGCACTGTTACGAGGTCTGGATATGATCCTCGTGCAGTAGACGACAGACAGCCTATGGCCTTGGACCAGGATGACTTGAAATACCTAGCAGCTTTAACAAATGGTAGATGTGGTATCCTTCTTAATTCCGACTATCCCTAGAGCCAGTCAGAACCTGATATAAATGACATAGCTGGCGAAGAAACTGTACAAGCAATCGATGAGCCTTTGCCAATTTCAGATCAAACTGCCATGATACACGCACAGTGGCTAAATAGTTCAGTAGAGGTGAAAATAAGAAATTTCTTCAGACAGCATTCATCTGGACGCCAGTATTGGCAAAGTAGCGAATTTGTTAGAAGGCCCACTGTTTGCCCACTCGTCTTAGTCTTCCATTCTGATCTCTCGGAAACCGGCCATCACAGAAATCAATACATGTCAATGTATAGGTCACGCAAGCCTATTAGTGAAGTTTACTAGTTTATTTTGCTAGGAGCAATTAATTCTCGCCATAAAATTTTGAAAGACGGCTCTTCACACTTCCCTCTCGCTGTCAAACCCAGGAAATCTGGACGAAACCATACTTGGGTGAGAAAAAAACTGATACTTTTACACAAAAATGATTATTTGTTTTTCACGCTCATCCGTCATTTTCAATGGTGGCAAAGTCAGTATGCCTCTGACTCCTTATGACGGCTGGCGCAAGCGACACTTAACAAAATATTTTCTCAAACATTTTTCTGGATTCCACAAAGAATCTTGGATCGCAAAAGTATTTCTATTTTTGAGGTTATTAACAACCTTTCATGGTTACGGTCTTACGACATGGTCGGATATTTGGCACCGCACATTGTTGTACGTGTTCCGGGAAGCAAACAACCATTCCTAGAATACGAGTATCGAGCTCGAAGAGCAGATAAATCTCTGGAACAAATAATTACCTGTCTGTTTAATGGCCTTGAGAGGAGGTTCGGGAATAAATAGAAGTGCTACATGGAGCCTAACATGTGCGCTATTTTCTTAAAGACCGTACCTCTTGCAGCGAAGGAGAAAACGTGTACGGATACCCTTTCGTTAGAAATGTTACTGAGCGTTACGTCGATTTTCGGTGTTCTGCACTATGACTTTATTAATGGTCATTCTTCTCCTGCAGCAAGAGCATAACACTTTTCCACCCTGAATTAACCTTGTTTATCGCGTTCCGAGCAATCGCGTGCGAGGGAAAAATATTTGATGGATGATGAGCTACACAAAAATAGTAAAAGATTATCAGTAAGACTTTTCTTAGGCACTGCTCAGTCAGCAAAATACAAATTAATTACAATTCAGACGTTATTTACAATACAAAAATTACCTATAATACGAAAAATACAACAAATCCAACTTGACAAGCAATACCAAAGCTATTTTCAATGTTAACACCTTTTCAATACTAAAAATCCATAATCTAACTACTATTATAACAACACTAATATTGTGTTCGATGTTCTTAAGATTGAGCATACATTCATAATCAGCGTCAATATTAGTTGACACATGTAGTGTTGAACAGTTAAGAATAACAAAATTAACGACAAATTACTAAATTACTGACAAGACCCCTTCCCCCTATTAAATGATGTCTGTTTACAGCTAAAAGATCACGAACGTAAGATACAAAATTGTTTTAGGCGTTAACAAGGTCAATGTTTAAATTTTTTTTTTGCCGAATAAAGTAACCAATAAATATCTTTTTGGAGGAAGGTATCTCAAAGGGTCCTTGAGATACTAGGCACTCCAATAGTTAAGCCTCTGAGGTTGTCGATTTTGCTCTGTGATGAAGCAACGGGTGCCGGCCTCGCTTCCAAGTTTGAGCCATAGGGTATATTGCAGATTATATGGGGACCGTCCTGGCCTGGGCCGTCTTGGTGCAGTGGTTGCCTCTCACCATTTCCTTGGGCGTTGTTGTTGTTCCTCCTCCTGTTCCACCTCTTTTTCCACCATAGAAAAAGCCCTGCTGGGACCACCAGCGCAATCATCCCAGCGGTTGGAACCACAATTTCCACAATAATGTACGCTGCACAAATTTAAAAAAACCAGAAGACGTTATTTTTCAATAAAAAAATATTTCTTGAACGTAAATATCATCGGAGGAGAAGGAGCTTTAGCGAAGCAATAGAGCGCCCATCCATCAACTTTGATGATATTATTGATATTGTATGATTCTTGTGAGGGTAACAAGACATTATTTGGTGATTCTGTAAAGTGAGTGCTTTGTCTATCACACCTATTTACTCTTTATTTTGTATTCTAAACTTTTCTTTCTAATCGTTATTCCTGTGATAACGAAGGTACTTTTTGACTTTCTTTCAACTTACGATGTTCCTTCGCTGCTGGGATGAGAGATGATCCCAAAACACAAGCATTCCCACAACTGCACAAGTGATCTAGCTCAAATTCCTAGAGCACGATAAAGGAGATACAAGAGGAAGTTTTCAAGAGCTTCATTACGGATTCAACATATGACAATCTCCTATAATCAATTTTCTTACGTAACAAGACTCGTGTTAGGAATGATGAAATCCAAGTCGCAAAAGGCTGAACAGGTTTCATGGAATTTTAAAAGCAAGTCTTTAATAATTCGTTTCACGTTCGTTTCAAAAGAAAATTGCAATATTTCGACAGCCATACTGCTAGTCTTTGACATCTACTTGGTCCAATCGCACTCTGCATTGACAAGGGAGGAATATCTATTAGCGACTCGTATTCTTTTAACCCAATCGGCTGACAAGAAAATTACAATTTATTTTTCATTATTATTTTTTTACATCAATCTGAGTTGATAAGTTGTGTAAAAAAGTCAATTACCCAATCGTCTTCATTGATTACTTTCAAGGTTGCATCTTTGATGTCTTCTTTGGTCCGATCGCACTTAAAGTGGACAATGGATATTCGACCTTCAAGATCCCTGAAAGAAGATAAACTAGGAAGTTAATTAGTGTCTTCCGATAAAGACAAATTCTGTCTTTTCTATATCCCATAGATTAAGCAGTACAGCTCTCCACGTCATTTTTTGTTAATGGTACATTGTTCCTTCTCGCTGATTGTTAATTTTCTGCTTCTATGTGTTTCTCAGTGGTAAAATTCATATGTTCTTCAAAGCGTTAAAAAGAGTTGTATTGAAGTTAGTCTATGTGCCCACCACGAAATAGGTACCGCGCACCTTAGTGAACTTATATGCGCACATAATACTAAGTTTTAATCGCTGAGCCTCGTCATAAGAACGCGCAAGTACACATACCTTCCCCCTGCGTTGTAGGTTAGTCGAATACCATTGCTCTCTTTGGTACAGTTTGGTATTTGATTTCCAATTGACCAATAATTGTCAGGATTATCGTTGTTTGGAGTCCACCTACATATCTGAAAAGATAATAGAAATAGCACTACTGTTGCCACAGGGTCACCAACAAATCTCAGAGTTACTCTGGTGTATAAGACCAACCACACGTAAGATTCCGGTATGCAAACACAGCATTAGAAAGGGTGGTAACCCTGCTATTTTAAATAATCGCCTGCTACATTTGTGTCCAGTCTGTTCTCTCAAAATATCATGGTTACCTAATCAACAATAATAAGATTATTACCTGATACTACAGAATGGGATATCATGGATCTCATTTCTAAGGTGAGAATCATTTTGTTTCTCAAGTAACCTTTCTTACTTCGGAGAAGAACAATTTTTACCGCAACTGAACACAAAGTATACTAGAGAAATTAACTGCCCCCACTTAATTGGTGAATCTTTCCACTATCGAACTCAGGTGTTCCTTTAAGAGTTGTTGATCACCTGCATAATACGATGGCCATGCATTCTTAAGGTTTTACGTTTGTTGACAACAAGTAAGTCCTCTTGCATGTCCCAATATACAATGCTGAGTTGCTGTTCACAAAATTAAGCTTGAATAGTCAGATTTCTCAAGTACAACAAAAGCGCCGAAAACATCGAGCTTCATTTCTATGACTGCGGAAATAGTTAGACCATTACTTACTGCTGTTTCTTTATCCCGATCACAGTCACCGGCTAAACTGATCCATCTGCATGGATTATAGGCGTACGAATAGTACTGATCATATTTTCCATGAGGTGTACCATTTACAACGAAGCCCCTAAGGAAATGTCCATGAGAAAGCATTGGTTATGAAGTGATGACTAATCAAAAGGACGCATAGCACCAAGTCACTCAATTATAATTATAATTATAATCTAATACAGTCGAACCTGCCTTAAGCGGTCACCCATGAGGAATGACGTGGTGACCGCCTAATACAGATTCCTTAGGATAGGGGCAATTTAAGACGTCATGCTTTGCTATAATTGACCACTTAATTTGCAAAAATACCACCTACATTGATTTTTGGAGATAAGGATCGATTAAGTTTCACTTGAAAGATTATTCTTAGTTTTATTTAAAAGTTTGCGCTTCACGTGACCGTTCTATACATGTAGAGAACAATACAAACAGGCCGTTAGGACTTAGTAAAGGTTGACTACTGACTTTTTATTGAGGTGACCACCTAATAGGTGCCGCTAAATACAGGTTCGACTAGAGAATCATTATGGAGTGTAGGGAACTACCAACAGATACAGCAACCAACACACTTAAGTATAATCACAACTGATATTTTTGCAGACTCCTCACATCTTCCCTGCTGAAAAGATCGCTTTTCAAAAGGTTTTTTTTCGCGGCATTCTATCACATTCTGTCCATTATGTGGTTTCACTTTTCTTCCAATATCAAAAGTTCAATTATCTCAATTTCTTGTCTGCTCCATATGTCAATCATGAGATTCGCTTGGGTTATTCAATAAAAACGCAAGGAAAAAATACATACGTGTTACTCGCCAGCCGGGAGGTCCGTATTGGGAAAAACTGTGCCCGAGATCTTGAGTACCGCCCGAGGTCGTAGGCCAAGGGCGGTACTCACGACAGAGGACACAGTTATTCCCAACACGAACCGTCTTAGGCTGGTGGATGACATTTTCATTTTTTCCCTTAAACTTCACGGAATTCTTTCCAAACGAACCCGAATGATTTAGGGCTGTTATTACTGTAAGATCTTCTATAAACTGAACAATTATTGAGCGAGTAAATAGAGGTGATGTAAATTAAAGAGAGAGGCTTCACTGAAACATTTTCATTTGCGTATTGATAAAGGTGATTTAAGAGACTTCCAATCAAACTTTGAAACATTATTTTTACAAGTATCTGTCACAATCTGATATTTGTCGATTAGAGAGCGCGTAAGAAAAAAAAAAGCGCATGTACGCTTTGAAAAAACAACGGAACTCGTTTGGCAAGGACTGCCACGACAATGTTTTCTTCGAAAACAGTCAGTGCTCTTACGGAAAGTATTATTCACTCTCATCGACGATTCGTTCATGTGCGAAGATTTACCTCTGCTCATTAAGTAAACGGCGAGGAAAGTAATCTTAAGTAAATTCAATTTTTTTTATTTTGAAGTTGCAAGGGTTTGCTCGTTTATTTGCAGCAATGGCGTGTGTAAATCTGGTCTTTCCTCCACAAAAACTAAATTCGAATGAGGCTCTTCAATTAGACACAAGGGGATTTAATGCGACTTTTTCTTTTCACTTTCTGTTGTGCAATTAACGGTACAACTGTCCAAACTGAACGGACTTGGAAAGACTCACTGAAAGCGTATTTTTAGTAGAACTGAAAACTTCGCTCGCCCTTTCACTACGAAAAAATTGTTTGAGAGAATTCAGATACCGATTCATTCAATTGTAACCAAATACTTCACCTTTTAACTTTTTAGGTACTTTTTGTGAAGGATAGTAATTAATTACAGACAGTCTGTAGGCCGCTTGTCAACCAATTTAATAACACTTTTGCTCATAACAATTCATTTTGAAACCAATATTTTTCTGTCAACCAAAGTGATTTGAGAGAGAGGATCAATAACTGATTTATCGGCTTGAAGTAGTGACCGACGTGTTTGCTTAAAAGTACTTCCCAGCCGAAAAAAAGAGAAACATTTGTGAAAAATGGCAACGAAGGTAGGGATGTACTCGGCAACTTACGAAAGCGTTACCGTGCCCGTGGGCAGAGATATATAAAAATACGGACCGCGCTAAGAACCAATCAGATTGCAGGATCATTGCCGCGCCCTCTGACAAAAACATAAATCTATGTCACGCTATGTCACGCTATGTCACGCTATGTCATGCTAGTCTTGTGAGACTTGGGCAGATTTATTCGGAAATATACTTTTGGTTAGCTGTTTAGCTTACATGCAGTTAAAAGTAGTAGTTAAAACGTTCCGCTGCCAAATTTCCGAAGAAGACTGTTTTGGTCACATATGTTATATGTCATTCTGTTACGACAAAAGCTTGGTTGAAATAAGTAGTTAATAATGCCACTGAACTCTGAGAAGAGGTTGTGAAACGGAGCTATGCTTTTTCCTCTGACATGGGGCGGAAGAGAAACATCGTGTGCCCTAAATTGAACACAGTAGTCTACAAAGAGTTAATATCGAAATCACATGAATTTCACTTTCACCTCTCTTGCTTCGAACAAAGCTCGAGTGGGAAACTTGGCCACGGATGACATTATAGCCCTTACCATGAATTAATCAACATCCTAAGATCATTTTATGGATATATTCTGTTTTCCTTAAAGTTTATCTTGTTTTGCTTACCTTTCGATCCTTTCGGTACTCGAATATATCAATGGCGCTAGATTAACGATCTTCCCATCTCCAACTTCCCAAGCGCAGGTCATATGGTGTACAAGGAAGCATTCTTGACTAGTGGCAGAAGAGCTGGCATCACACTTCTCGTATTCAACAAAGGTATGCAGAACTGTAGCGCACAACATACTGATGAAAAAACGCATCTTTTCTCCGTGGGTATCTGAGGAAGACGATGTCAGAAGACGAAGTCTTTTCGCAAACAAAGAATGTGGGGGTTTTCCCGTGAATATGTTGGGGATTCCCCCATGATAACGCCTCTAATTAAAAACAATTAATATATATGAGTATGAGAAGGAGACACAAGCCTGTCGATTGGAGAGTTTTATCTTGATGTAACACCAAATTCTCTCTTCTATAAAGTTATAAAGAATAAGATGACGTTTAAGCAAATAAATTTTCATGCACACTTCTCGAAAAATTTCGCTTTGTGCACGCAGAAGATGACTTCGTTTCGATAGCTTCATTTCCGGGAAAAAAAAAGGCAGCACTGAAGATCTTGTCTGACATCTGCTAATAATACATAGACCTAAACTTGGCCGATTGTAACACACCTCGCACAAAAACATAATCCAAGATTCCATCTCCACTGCTTTCGCCTTCTATTGGATGCACAACGGAAAGATAGATTCTCGGAAAGCGCATTTCGTCTAACTTCCTATTTACTTTGTACGGCGATCGATTATAAACCATGCACACTAGAAGTTCAGTGTGGGGAATTTAGCCTGACGATTTAAAAGTGATTAGAATTTAATGCTTTTTTTTAATCATAGAATAAACGCTGAAGGAATACAAGCAAACAGATAACAGTACACAAGAAATGTACGGTAATAGTGCCTACCTTTGATGACTGAGGACTTGTTCTCGATACTGCCGCAAAACAGAGGTGATTGAGGCTTGCAGAGGGAGCTTTCAGTTACAGATCATTTAGTAAACAATTTTTTACCATTCGTCTGAGTCCTTTAGTCTGATTTCTCGGAAACCGGCCATCACAGAACCGCGTACATACCATTTTAATCAGGATCAAATTAACGCATACAAGCGGTCAAAGTAGCTTCCCTTTGGGTCACGATAAGTAAATAGGCCCAAGCAAGGCCCGGTACCACAGCTGGCGAACCCTTCAAATGCGGCTTTGGAGAGGCTTTGGATACCATTATGCCTCCTAAACGCGATTTTAGGTCGAAAAAGTTTCAATGTAGTTACTTTTAAAGGAGGAAAAGCTACAGGAAAGTCGAAGTTTGGTGTTCCAGTTCGATATGCCGCCCAGCAATCAATTGATACAACGCCTGTGGCCACCGGATCTTCTCTAAACATATGCAGAGGTTTTTCTCCAGACCAAGAAGACCTTCCCCATATTTACGAATCTCATGGTTTGAAAAACAACAAAAGATCTCAAGGTATAAAAGTACGACTGAAGTGCAAGTTAAAAGCTTACCATGCGAGGAAAGCCGCGCTGGCTTCGTCTTGGCTCAATGCGAGAGAGCCGCTCATCTCAGCACTGTTGACCAGACAGGCTTTGCCTTTGGGGCAGATGTGTGTCATTCCTTTTTGCAAAGAAGAGGCGTGCGGCAGATGCCTTAACTGCAGTCCAGGGCAATTCCTATGCGAAAACCATATCAATTCAGTTAATGCAGGAGGTAGATCTCTGCACCACCGGGAAGTTTGGAAGGTAAGTTGAAGATTAATGGAACACAGTCTCCTTCAATCACCTTATCAATTATGTTGTGAAACCCGATTTCGTGTGGTTTGATTGCAGAGACATCCTTCTTTTTTTTCTTACAACTGTATATATCTCCTCTACACAATTACTTCACTTCATGAAGTTTCTTCTCAACTCCAATATACATTATGTCAGTAAAACCTGCCCCACTTTTATACAGAGGAAAAAGTGAAACCAGTGAGCATAATTTCTTCTTGAAAACATACATGTAATTTGCTCTATACTCAGAACAAAGTAAAGTTTATTTTTGGCAATTTTGAAAGAGTTGGCTGATTTAAGGGGTGTGTGATTTGTAGTCACCTGATTCACATAGGATATTATATACTCTTAGGATGGAACTGATTCATGAATGCCATATCGATTTGGTGAGTGTGTATGGACTACACCTCACAACATGGATCATGGATATGTGCATGACTTTATAGCTGTTGGTTTTTGCATGGTAAGTAACTAACAGCAGTGCAATATGTAACTATATTGTGAGATAGGTTGCCAATCTGCAATTACCAGTACCACTTTTTACCTATACTTACACTTAAATAGTTTGGTTACCTCTTCCAGGAAGGTTTTTGTTTCTGTTTTAATTGGTTTTAAGGTGCTGATTATTTTAGATTTAAAAGTGGTAGAACAAGCACATTACTGAGGATAACTGATACCTTAACTGTAAATTTTCCATGACTGACTCCTGGTTATTCTATCACAGATAAGGGCTTGTACATTGCAAAAGTGGTATTTTTGAGGTGTTTTTCATTTTCATGAGAGGAATAATGACCACTTTCAACATAAACAGGAATCAGTAAACAATATTATTATTATTATTATTATTATTATTATTATTATTAGAGAAGAATATAAGTATGGACACACTACTGTATGGTGTCTGTCTTTGTACAGGGCAGCAGCATCCATTAAAATCAAATGTTGTGAGTATGAACCAGAAGCCATAACACTGATCAGGAACAGTTTCTGGCTATCTTCTCCAAAACAACCCCAGGTAGCCTTTGACCTTGGATTTATGGCCCTGTTCCAATACATTTTCTTAGAATGTAGAGTGTCTTTATTAAAGTCAATATGTCAGGCATTGCAATGGCTGGTTCCTCCTGCTTCCAAGGTTTACATAAGTATTCATTCAATAAATTTTTATCTTATACTCACGAATGCAATTTTTTCTTAATTTATGCAATAAATAAATTATTTGATTTCCTTTAGATTAAGGACATCTACTGGCTCTTTGTTGGAGATTGTTTCGAGGAGTTCCTGTATGTCCAGCATTTTGAGTAACCTGAAGCAATTCAATCCTTCTTATGAGAATGATGATGAATGTCCTGCATGTCCTAAGGTTTGTGATAAGTCATCCTGCAGATGAAATTCCTAGGTGAGTAATATCTACCTTTGGAAATCTAGAACAACTATCATTATATATGTTGGCATAATGAATGATATAATTTCAACCAGAAACATCATTCTGAATCTTTATGAGTCTCTCTTTTTCCTAGTGGTCCTCTATAGTGTGGCACCTGGTCTTAGCATGAGTTATTCCATTATTTTTCACTCATTTAGGCTTAAGAAATATTTCTAACATGACAATTTTAATAAGATATTGGCATCTGATTGTAGGAGAAGGGAAGTTTATTTATCTCCATTGATGCATTGTTTGGATGTGTCCAGAAATGCAGTGCTGGAACTAATGGAAAGTCCTCAAATCATGGAGAGGAACTGTTCATTAACCAAGAAAAAGTGGATGCATTTCCAGCTAATTACAGCAAAAGACCAAGCGGCAAGTCAACAGTGTGTAAACGGAATGACTTTTTCTCTTACTTTGTGTGTTGTTGCTTTACTCTAACCTTTTGTTACCCATCAGTACTCATACCACTACTCAACCATTGCAATGAGAGACCAAAAGTAACAGTCATGTTTGTTGCTGGTAATAATGATGTCAGTGTTGTATTATTTAAATATAGTACAGTTTGAAGGGTCAATTACTGAAACTGTATAGATTGTCATTTCAGATACATAATTAATCATCATTTTACACTCAATGTACCAGTAATATAAATGTAACAATAAGAAAACTGAGAAATTAATGCTGATCAATTAAATTAATGTCTAACAGAAAATTCAATACAAAATACTTGTTTGCTGTTATGGCACAATTTAAGAATTTACAAATTAAACCAAATCATAAGGTCAGTAAATTTATCAATTATATCATTTCAAATACTCGTCACTCCAATCTTACTTTATATAGTTTAGTTAATTGGACACAATCATTTGTAAACCACAAAGTTCACATCACAAAATGTGATAAATATCATAGTAATTATGTAATAATGATGATGATAATGACTATAATTATTATTAGCTGACCTGTTTCATGATGTTGCCAATTATCT